ACAGCCAGGATTGTAGCTTCAACCGGTTCTGAAAGGCTCCAGATACAGAAAGCTCTAGTTTAACAAGGTCCAAGTATTTATTGTATTTTGGTAATTCATGTTGAATCTGTACAGTTTGTGCAAAGAACATCCACACGTATCGAACCGACTGTACAGATTTTCACCGTCCGAGAGGGGGACAGATATTTTTTGCAGATTGAAAACGCAGAATCGATCCACAGTTGATTTTGTTTTCAGGTTTCCTAACACGACGAGCAGCATCTGTGTCTTCCTACCCATAATCCCTTGAGTTTTGGGAACATTTCCTGTGCTGAATTGGGATTTACGCATCACTCTCCGACCACAGAGCTCCAGAGTTCCCTCCAAACATGCTTGTTGTGAGCGGCGCCCTAAAACAAACCGAACCTGACGGAGTTTACACAGTTTATTATTGGGAGAAAGCACGGCAGACGAGTTTAAAAACGTGACAGAGAATCATTTTGGGAAGATAATTGTGATTTCTTACTAAAAGACAAACGTTTATTAGGAAAAACACATAATTTTAGCGCCAACTCAAATCCTGAGGAGGAAACAAAGCAACAAAAACCAGCGAGAACATCTCTTACCTTGCCAGTCTTGTGGTCGAACCACACCAGGGCGTGATTCCTGGACAGCACCTTGCAGTCGAAGGTGGCATTGTTCTGGGCCGGCCGACACCGAGCCACCGACCTGCCGATCTTGACCGGCTCATCCAGGTACACATGCCTCTCCTGGAACGGGTGCGAGTTGGGTCGGCAGGCGAACACGGCCAGCGCTGAAGGCATTGATTTTGGCTTAAGAGTGTTACTCCAACCAGACACGAGGGAGAGGTTTTCTTGATCCAGAGTGGCAGCCGTCTGTTTTCACTCCCTAATGAATAAACTACAATACCTGTGTGTGTGTGGGGAGAGGAGGGGGGGGGGGGCCCCCTCCAACACCACCCCCCCCTCCCGGTGCCCCCCCTCCCTACAGGGAAGACAGGGATGGCATTTCGCGCTCCACTGCGGTAACGAACTGGGTTGAGAGGAGCGCGCAGTAAACATTTAAGGAGCTCGGCGAGTAAGTTTTGTCAGCACTCGCTAGCCTAGCCGTAGCCTGAGCCTTAGCCGTAGCGCTAGCTTTGGCGTCTGTCACTAGCGAAGCCAATTAGCGATTTATTGCACAAGGGAAGCCTGTTAATACCCCCCCCCCGCGCTCCCGGCGAGTGTTTGGAACCCGGGCACTGAACTACGCGACTGCGCTGAAGCCTGTTAACTCGGGTTCAGTCTCGTGGAGTGGTTTTCTGCAGAGAAGGAGGGGGGGTGGTGGCGTGGGTGAGGTAGCGAGCTGAGTCCCACTGCAGCCGAGTGCGGGTGTGTTGTGGGGTAGTAGGTTTGATGTGGTGGTCATCTGCGAGGATGGGGAGGTGGTGACAACAGAGAGAGAGGGTTAGAGTGGTTTGTATGAATTTCAGTAGAAAGGTAGTAGAACGGATTAACCTTTGGAGAGGGTAAGACGCCCCAGAAAAAACGCGTGGTTTAGGGGGGGGCGAGCCTGAACGCATACTTTACGATTTGTTCAGATTTTCCTGCATTGATTAACTCGTTTTATCACCGTTATGTTGAGGGAGCTGGGTGATTGGTTGTTTTGGTGTGGGTGGGCGGGTTTGTGAGCGAAGATCAAAGGGCGGCGCGGGCCGGTGTTCTGCGAGGCGGGAAACAGTGTTGGTTATGGAGGTCGCGCGTTGCAGGCTGTCAGAGCCTAGTTGCGTCCAGGCCGAGGAGGTGTCCGAGCGAGCGAGAGCCGGGCGGGGGTCTGTAGCATACTGGATCTGCTGTCCGGTGTATAGTGTCGTTATGTAGCTTTGTCTGGACCCTCAGCTCAGCGGAAAAAAAAAAAAAAAAAGGGCGGGGGGGGGAATGTCTTGCTGTTTTATTATACCGTTTGGTTTTATGTTCATTTTCTTCAAACACAGGAGACGTCTTGCGTTGAGTCGGAGTGGGGACGCGTCCTGCAGCCTGGGCTGTGTGCTGGGACATGTTTACACGTTGTGTGCGCTATAAGCTTTAGAGGACCTCGACAGTTTCGGCGCCTCAGCTATAAGG